TCCATAACAGTTGCAGTGCCACTCAGAGCTTTATATTGCAGAGATCTGAGGGGTACTGCCACTGCGCCCGTCACTCTGAGACATAAGTTGACAAGTCCCATGTGCCTGTAATTTCACCAGCACCCTGACACTTCCAAACCGGAACGCGGCGGCAGAAATAGGTAAGTAACTAGACAGGTTGTGTTTCTATAGAGGGTCACGGCCATGACATGTATTGAACACTGCCAAGTACGTATAATGGGATATCAGTTTAATTAAGTATAGGTTAGTTTAATCAATAGTTCGTATGATCTTTGTTCTATAATATATATACTATATGTGTTATTTGTATAAATAACCTGAAATCAATAACAGGTAATTAACAGGTTCCTGTTGATCGAATTTTATACCAATTTTCCACTGCATGTTTAGTCTTACATTTTCTGAGTGTATATCTTACAACCTTGGGATGATAATTGTAAATGATAATGTGATATTGATAGCATCACCAACAACCTATACAGTGTGTTATCGTTAAGTGTGCTTAGGCGATTATTCCGAAATATAAGACATATCAAAAACCTTTAAGCTGATATCGAAAGCACGTTACCGAATAAGTAAAATGATATCAATAACTTTTTAAAAATAAAACTAGAAATACCCAAAATCTTAATGTCAAAGGTTCCCACACATTTAATATGACATTCGTAGAGAAGCTTTACTTGACCTACTTTGAGGAGGTAACAATAAGTTTACAGATAACGCAACTTCTATAAATAAAGTAATAAAACTATCTTTCAATTGAACAAAAAACAAAACGATGCTTATTTTTAAATAAGTACGAAATTTTTTGTTGAAAGCAGTTAGTTGTTCGAAATTAAAACCTCCTTACGATGATGTCCATATAGCATTTAACGTTAAAATTTTGAATATTTATAAATTTATCGAGTTCATTTTTATTAAGTTCAATTTACTATTAATTAATAATTAACTTAGAATAAACTAAAACATAATAATTAGTACTGCAGTCTTATGTCTGTTTGGGATTCTTCATTAGAGGAAATACTGGATCCCAAACTGGTGTACGGAGAAACCATCTTCTGTTGAAATTAGGACGTTTTTTAATTTCAATGGCCTCTCGCAGCATCCTAGGTAGATAACGGACTTCTTTTGTAAGGACCTGGGGTTTGTCAAACTTCATTGAATGTGTAGGTTTATCCATGACATGCTCGCAGACTGCAGACATGTTTACGCGACGGTGTTTGACGTCAGCTATATGTTCTTTGACGCGGGTACAAATACTTCGCTTTGTTTGTCCAATATAAGAGAGACCGCACTCACAGTCAAGCTTGTAAACTCCTGCATCCTGTAAGGGGATGTTACATTTCACGGGTCTCAGGAACTGAGAAATCTTCCTCAGGGGCTTGAAATAGGTCTTGATAGATGCACGCCTGAGGACTCTTCCGATCTTGTCTGTAAACCTCTCACGTAAGGTAAGATGGCAGGTCTTCGATCGACTGTTGGTGGTTTCACACGGGGCCTGCGGCATTGGCGCGGAATCTTCAACTTATTAAATATAAAAATTCATTCAATAAAATAATTTGTAAACCTTAATGTTGCGTAAATTGGAATGTTTTCTTTGTAAAATTAAAAATAAGGTATTTAATTAATAATTATTGTAACTATAGTGAAAAAAATAGGATGTTTTGCATTGACATACAATTATATGGACGTCGGGTCCGCGCTAAAAAGTGTCCGAACTTATAGGGCGTTAAAATCGTATACAGAGCGTCATTCACGCTTTAGACTTCGTTTGTTCGACTGACAGCGAAGCAAGCAAAATTAGACAGTACTGCGATGACATTACAATTTAAATTCAACGGTTTAGCTTTTTCATATTCTTTTACATGTCACTTCGTTTAAATAGGTTGACTTGGGACATTTTTTTCCTGGTTTTTGTATTAGACCCGTCGTCCATTTATTTGTAAGTCAATGGTGGTTTGCATCAATATTAGACATAACTGTTGAAGACTGTACCACCTCAGTCAACCGTGACCATGGGACCTGTAAAGGACCCGAAAAGTCGGTTTGTTTGAAAAAACAAATATACGCGATTTAAATCCGGAAAAATAGTTTCATTTCCTATATTTCTAGTTTTATTTGCAAAAAATTAATGTTGTTTTACTCATTAGGTAACGTACTTTCGATATCGACCATTCTCACAATTCGGTGTTCTCAGCCTAATTACCGTAGCCATTTCTTTCTCACTTATTTGTTGTAACTAATAACATTGAAATATGAACAACTTTAATATGTCTAAATGACATTGAATTGACAAAGTAGTTTTCGAGTTATTAAGACACGAATATTGTATAGAAACGGTAATTAGAAATTATTATTTCCTATGGCTGCGGTAATTAGAAAGTTTTTTAAGAGTAGAAACTACGGAAGCAATTGGGGGGCGTTGAAGCTGTCCAGGGGGTGCTACTGCATTTCAAAAAAAAAAATAATTATCTATACAAACTCGCCTACTTTGAGAGACAGGGTCGTACATTGCTGGCTGCCCTGATGCCCTTTTTGTGCATGTATGTTGTATTCCGGTAATTTGTATTTTATATTTGTGTTTGTGTGGTAATAAATAAAATTAGTATTATTAAAAAAAGCTACATTTTTTACCTGTGATTTGTTTTGTTAAGTTAATATAAAAAATACGTGTTTTCAATTATTTTTTGTGGTGGTGAGGGGTGAGCCAACAGGTTTGAGAACCTACGAGTTATATTTTTATGTGTTTATATAAGCAGTATTTTAAATGGCACAGGAGTAATCCATTCCGGACTAAAATGAGAAGTAAATTTGCAGATAAAGGTAGCGTCCGGACAGGCTACAAGTAACTGGAGAAAATGGGTTTGAAAAAAAAAATGTGATAATTGGCTAGCATGGCAACCATTTAGATTGAAGTATAAACAATTAAAAAAAAAATTTCAAATTTCGTTTGATGTTATTCAAGGACAGGAAAGGCGCGCAAAAATTTGCTGTTTAGAGAATGACCGTTTTAAAGTTTTATACATCTTTTATATTTACGGAATAACCGCCTGGGTACATTTACACTCTGTAACTTCTAGTATTTGCACGAAATTCCTCTAAGGAAACGGTTTAACCTAGTCTGTCAAGTCGGATCTATGGGTACTGGTCTACAGGTTTAGTTACCATGTTTAAAAAGTAAAGTTAAAAAGTAAATATATAGATTTTGGCATTCAGAACATCCATGTTATAAAAAATGGTTTGCCAAGACATCCTGAGGATGCCTCGTAAAGAGGCGAAACACATGTCGAGTGTATTTTTGGTGGTGGAGTTTATGATTGTAATTGCATGAAAAAAATATTCAACACGAGCGCATATATTTTACACAATTTAACCTTGACTGGGTTCGCGCAGTAGAAAAGAAATTTAGTTTCGTTTGTATAAACGATGTTTTTTTTCACAGTTCACAGTTTTTTACGTCCTGGGACACACGGTGTCCCTAATGATTTTGATAATTGGTTTTTTTTTTGATACTTTTTATAATTTTTTTAAGTGGTGAAAGAAATATCTCTATATTAGAAAGAGTGTATTTATAATAAATTTTTAATATAAATATCGTGGAGTTGATCCAAATATTAAATCTGAAATGGCGGTGTTATTATTTTCAATTATAAATTACTTCTAAATTACCATCATACTGATGTAATCTAGGTTTAAATGAATAAAAAATTGAAACTACGTTAATTAATAAGTGCGAACGTTTAATTAATAAATAACGGTAACAGGAAAATGATTAAACAGAGAACAAATAGTTTACAAGCTCTGGAACAAAATAAACCGCTAATTTTTTGTTAACCACAGGTTGTTTTGTATGTGAAAATAACAATAACGATAATTAAAAAAATATGACATCTGCAATTAATTATTACACAATTGTTAATTATAAACATTTAGGTAGATTGTTATAATAAAATAGCAAGTGTAAGGATAGACTGCAAAATGTTCAAAACAATTACATCAGGGGCTAAAATTATAACCTATACGACACTAACTTATCTATTTCATCTGTGAGAATTTTCGGAGCTTAAAGAAATGTATTCCGCAGCTATTAAGCAGTTTTCTTGAGGTATTAAGCCGGGTACTCACACGCGAGCTGTAACATGTTATGTTACAAAAAATCATAGTGTGTTACGTGATTCGCGAGTTTTCGCGAGCGGAACGCATGCGGTTCGCAGTGAGCCGACGATAAACAGGTACTCACTCTAGCGAGTGGACTGTTTCACGCGTACACACTAGAACCTGTTCTTGTATTTGTCACGTTACAGTTACATAGCTCGTTAATGGGTACCCGGCATTAGACACGAAACAAAAAAAAATCAGTTGAAAAGTACTGTATTCTTATTTTTTTTACAAATTATTTTGTTTAATAACTTTTATCCATACTAAGTGTCACATTGTAACCTTTTCTGGCCCTCCTTATCGTAACTATTGTAACGCATTTGCATTTGGCGCCTAAAGTTTTATTGTCACTTTAGAAAATGTCTGTTGCTCAGATTTTGCTTGACAATAAAACTGAAACTAAATAAGATATAAGAAAACCGATTGGAGGGGGTTGTAGATCTTGTTTTGGTGATCCCAAATATAAATGAATAACTCAATTTAGCTAAATTTTATGATTATGTTAGTCTTGGAGGGCCATTTGTTGCCAATGCACATTTGGAACCTACAGTTATTATACAGTTTTCTATTCTGCAGCACATTTTCCAGTTTAATGTAATCGTCCTGTAACTTGTAACTAAATAATGAAATTAATAAAAATATTATTAATTTATATTTTATGTAACAGCGTATTCTTTTGGGACGGTGTAACTTTTGACCTTTGCTCCAATGCCTTGGGTCTGCTGGAAGAGATCTCTTTTAGAGACAAGCACACCTTTACTCACGTTCTGTATAATTCATGTTTCCTTTGTATTTATTATGGTGCAATAAAGTATATATAAAAATTATTATATATTATCGAAATGAAGGTATTAAGAATAGATTTCGATTTGGTAGTTCAATCCAGACCCTCGCTCACTCTTCAGCCTGATGTTGACATAGGAAAAGCCGACTCCTCCTGCTGTGACCGTAGCGATGGCATCGGTGTGATCTATATCTCGCGCTATAATGGCCTGCAACAAAAATAATATGGTGTACCATCATTCATTGGTCATCATTATCGGCTCGAAGACCACTACTGCTAAACGGCATGTGTTTAGCGGTAGTGGTCTTCCAGCCGATTTTAATGCCACTACTTGAATACGTAGTTTACACTCGAGCCAATAAGTTATCGTGGTGATCTTGACAGATCGTTTTGGAGGCGTAACAGACACTTCTACTAAAATAAGTATCACTACAGTACTAGTATGGCACTAGTTATTAATAATATAGTAATTTAGTAATGTACGTTTTGAGCTTACTGAAAAAATTACAATATTATGAGGTTTTTAGTATCATGATATTCAGCTATTGTTTCGTGAAAAAATTAGTTTGTTATTATTATTAATGCAAAAATTAAACAAACATTAAGAAAAATTACTTCGATTCGTTTGGGCACAAACCAGCGTTTGTTCCCTAAATGTAGCTATAGACGCAAACAGACATAGAGAATAGGCAATCGACGCTGGCCCACTCGTGTCGAAGGAATTTGTGTTTGTGTTTGTTTGAAATTTATTTCAATAATAAACTTAATTTAAGTTATTTAATTAAAGTATTTTTCCCGGATTTAAATCGCGTATATTTGTTTTTTCAAACAAAGGTTATGGTCACGGTTGACTTAAGTTGTAAATAAAACAAGTATAAAAATACTAGTAAAATAATAAGTAATTGTTATGAACGGTATTTGTAATAAATTATTTATACCCTAAATACCAAATAATATTGTCACTAATAACTTTTTTTTACGATATCCAGTGACGGGACGAACAACTGGTGCAAGCGACAAGTCTACTCATGACAGTTGCAGTGCCACTCAGAACTTTAAATTGTGAAACGAAAATGTGTTCTAACGTTTGGTTGTCTGATGATTTTATTAACTCCACCCTTGTAGAACTCCGACTTGAAGAAAACACTCGGATTTGTCTTACAACTTAGTTATAACTTTTTCATTATTAACTTTAGTAGTAGTAGAGCTCCTTGCGAATGAGTTCGTCCAGGGAAGTACTGCCACCTTACCTATTTCTGCCGCCAAGCAGTAATGTCATCATAATTATGTTCCGGTTTTGAAGGGTAAGGGTGCTGGTGAAATTACAGGCACTTGGGACTTGTCAATTTATGTCTCAGGGTGACTGGCGCAGTGGCAGTGCCTTTGTAATTTAAAGCTCTGAGTGGCTCTGCAACTGGTATGGACAGGTATGCAGCTTACCACCAGGCACACGACTTGTTCATCCCGTCACTATATTATAAAAAAATAATTTATTTTGGTAATAAAATCGACCTCAAAAGTTTGTGGAATTACATCTATTTGCCAAGTTTTATTGAAATCGGTTAACGGAAAGTGGGTAAAATGCATTAAACTGGATTCATTCACTAATTTGCCACGCTTACAAATGAAATTTTCGCATTCACATGAAATCGCTTCACAAGTGTCGGCGTAACATACACACAAAAAATACAATCGAATTGTCAACTTCCACCTTTTTTACGTCGGTTAAAATGAATATCGTCATTCTACAACAAACACAAGTTCAATTAAGACTTGGCTTTGTCTTTATTTATGTTATTGAAGAGAAATTATAATCTAAGATCTGGCAGTATGGCTTTGACGCCCTAGCTTGCTCCGAAGGACAAAAAATTGTGCTATTACATAACGATATAAATGAATCTCATCACCATAAAATCTTTTACGCTTTGGCCACAATAAAGTGCCAGCTCATCTTGCACGATTGAGAATAATATCGAGCAATATCTGTACGTTTTGTAACACGGAAAAAAAAACTATGGTAGTGCCTTATACTTTGATTACTATCAGAACCGATGTCGCCAAAACTCACACATTCTTAATTTGAAACACTACAGAATCTTGGTAATGATTGGTATTATTGTGTTTGAAATTTAAAAAGAAATAATAATTTCTGGATTCTTAATGTAATTTAAACTTTACTCACTTGGCATATCTTTGAAAATTCAATACCATCGATACCTACTATTGCAAGTTACGACGGTTTGATATTATATAGAAATTTCAATCAATCAAAGTGCTGCAATCTAGCGGTTAATTGCTGAACGACGACGTATTGGATTTATTAATTTAGTTCTCCAAAAAAGAAGCGACCATATTGCAGGGGTATGAGCTTATAAATCTTTTCTTTCGGCTTCTTGAATTAAAAAAATGATTTCGGTACACAGAAAATTGAAGTTTATTATAATAAAACTTTTAGTGCGAGTATCATTTTTGCACTCCAAAACAATAAGGCATTTTTCTAGGATTATAGGGAATTTGCACCAAACAATGACAAAACCATACCTTTGTATGCGAAAATGAGGGGACTGAAATTAAGTATGGACAACTGCCCATACTGTGGTCAGGCGTGTGATACTAACTAACCACTTCTACTGGTATTTATTGTTCTGATGGTACCGCAGACATGAACCACATTTTCTTCAAGAGTCATAACTTTGGATTCCATAGACTAGTGTTAGCAAGTGGAATTAGTGATTTCTGATATGTTTTATAGAAATTTATGGAACTAATTATAGAAACTTTTTAAAATAAAGTCTTTTAAATCACATTTTAATTAAAATAGGACTTAGCTTTAAAAGTTTTGCAACTGGGCCACAAACTTTAAAAGAAAATTGATGAATTCGTGTATAACCAAATATTATTTTGGTTTTTCAAACAACGTTTCGGGCCCTGACTGAGAGTCAGCCGTGACCATGAGACCTATAAAGGACCCAAAACGTTGCTTTGTTTAAAAAACAGACATACGCGATTTATATTTGAAAAACATAGTTTCATTTCCCATGTGTAACAATTGTGAAAATCTAAGAACTCGATACGAACAAAAACTATCACAATTAATAGGAATTCGAATCGAAATAAATACGTCATTGGTGTTCATAGCATTCATATAGTTAGATAATTATTATTTTTTATTACGTTCTATCTCCGTTCCTAGAAGGTGGTTCAGAGCTTTTTACTAGCTTCTATTTATAGTGCAATGTTCGCATGTGTTTCCGTTTACTTCCTATTACGAGATCAATCTTCTAAGATACGAGTCTAGCAATTGCCATTTCCGTCGAGGTAAATACAGGGTGGTAACTTAATTGCGTTACACCCGAAAGGGGTGATCCCACCCATTAATATATACAACTTTCACTATGGCAGCTGAATCGGAAAAAGAAATCAGTTGTTCCTACCGATAGCCAATGGAACAGTTTTATTTTTTCGCGATTAGCAGTGCTCCTTGAGGAAAAGTTCGTCCAGAGAAGAGCTATCACATTACCTATTTCTGCCATCGAGCACTATTATGAACATTACTGCGTTCCGATTCTGAAGGATAAAGGTGTTGGTGAAATTACAGCAACATGAGGCTTGTCAACTTATGTCTTAGGTTCAACTCACACTGGCGCAGAGTCGAAGCGTCGCGTCGCGTCCTGTTTTTCAACTACGACGCACAGCGACTCGCGTCGTCACGCGATGACGCTCGTATTAGCGCGTCCCGATTACAGTGTGGTCGGCGTCTGGCGCATCACTACGAGCAAGTAATGCACGACGACGCGCGAAACCGCTCGATTTTAACCAAGTCTAGTCTAACTCTCGGTTCCATAATAATAATAATGGGAAAATAGAGATGAATAAGCCATAGGCGAAAAACATGACTCGTCGCGACGCTTCGATTCTGTGCCAGTGTGAGTAGAGTCTTAGGGTGACGGGCGCAGTTGCAGTAAAGTTTTGAGTGGCACTGCAACTGCTATGGACAGGCATGTCGCTTGGCATCAGGTGCACGACTTATTCGTGCCCTCAATTGGTATCATAATAATTATAATGTTTTTATAAAAAACCGACCTCAAAAATTTGTGTAATTACTTCCATTTGCCAAGTTTTATTGAAACTGGTTACCGGAAAGTGTGTGAAACCGGATTCATCCCCTAGTTTGCCACCCTTAGAGGTGAAATATTTTCTTCAAATTTAAATGGGACCAACAACAAGGTTTTGGTCCCATTTAAATTTCTTTCCAATAAAAAAGAATCATCAAAATCGGTTTACAAATGCCGGAGTAATCACAACACACAAAAAAATGCAGTCGAATTGAGAACCTTTTTTCTTCTTATGTCGGTTAAAAGTACCCCCATAATGAAAGTTATACACTATTCGAATTTAGCACGCTGTACAGTCACTTTCCCAAATGACAGTGAAATTCGTATGTTAGAATTGAATTGTAAACATATAGTTTGAATAAAGCTACAACTTTGACAAGTTCCGCCGCCGGCATATTATTCACATTATCACAACATACAATAAGCTGTACATAATATGTTGTAATGGTCTGATGAAGAACGAACGATAAACGCGTCAACTCAATAAATATGAACGAATTAATTCCTTTTTAAGACGTTTGAGAAAACGAGAAAAATAATATTTTTAACATCGGCTGTAATGAATTTTATGAACATAATATCCGGCATCATTCTTATGTATACAGGCTTAATTGTAAAATACATCATAAACAGCAACTTCTGTTCCATGACTTTTAATAATTCATCAGTATTTACAAAAAAACAAATATTTAAATAGATCGCTCTAAACGTAATAACTCTGTGCAGGACGTGTGTGGGAGTCGTCGCGAAAGACGCTTGAACGTTTGAACTTATTGTACCAAATAGAGATCTAAAAAGTGTCAGTACAACAAGGGAAATTTTTTTTAATGGTAATTGGTACTTTTTGTAGTATCTGCTACTTTTTAGATCTATTTATTTATTTGTTGTCTTCGGGTTAACAACAGTACACTAATTCTATATAGAGTTTTTTTCATAGAATTTATAGAATTTGATTTTTGGTTGTAAGTTCCAACGTGCACGCTTCTCCACTCCAGGTCTTGCGTTTTGCATCGGTATTTAGATTAGGTCTTTTTATGTTACTCCAGAGGACACAGAGATTTTCTAAACGGCGATACCGGACGAATTATAAAAA